AACCTTCCCTAGAGGCGGCGGCCCAGTGAAGAGGACCCTTGTCTCCAACCAGGACGGGGGTGGGGGGCGTCCATCTGCAGGGCTCCGCCATCCCCTCCGGGTTACCACTGCCTTGCGCCCAGAGGGCGTCGCCCTTGAGCCCTTCAGCGGACTGTCGGCCTCCTGGGACCCATTCAGTTAGTCCTGTGAACGGTTTAGATCTTTAAAATCGCTTATGTTCATTGTCAACACCGCCAGTTATTTCCTGAGGGCTGGGGCTCCTGCTGTGTGCCTCTGGGTGCACAGGTTGGATCCCTGGCCGGCGGACGGGGGTTTCTCGAGGCCTTGGGGGTCGACACCCGTGTCCGTGACTCAGTGGGCAGGAGGGGTTGTCCTGGCTCCCCTGGCTGGTGGGGGTGGTCTGGGTGCTGGGAAGTTCCTGGAATTGGTGGTGGGCTTTCTGTCCTCCTCGCTGGGCTGGACCCGCCCACCCTGGTCTCAGAGATGTGATGGGGCTCTTCTGCCTGGTGGGGGCTCCAACCACCCCCACCCCCCCACACACAGACCCACGTGCACTGCCTCCTGCGGTGATCCCACCCAGGACCCAGCAAGCCTCGGTTAGTCTGACCATGGGAAGCCTATGGGACACCCCACACGCCCTCCACCTCTCGGAGGAGGGTCCCTCGGGTGGATGTGGCCAGATGTGGCTAGGGTTGATGTAGCTCCCCTCCCCTGCCAAGCCTGAGCCAGCAGATGCCCCCAGTGAGATGCAAAGGCCCCAGGGCCACTCCACACACAGGTCCGAGTCTCACAGACCATGGACAGGACTCCAAGGGTAGCAAGCTTCTGTCTTTGCACGTGCGGGCAAAGTGTGCCCAAGTGCACCCCAGTCTGGGGCTCCTGCTGTGTCGGGGCCCCTCAGCTGGGGGTTTGGGGTCTGGGCAGGCCACACGCTCCAGCGTGTGGACAGGCAGTCTGGGTCCCAGGCGTTACCCGTGACCTCGGGTGACTGGTGTCTGGGTTCTCCTATTGTAGGAATAAGAGGAACCTGCCGTGTCTTCACGAGGCTGACCCAGGATGTGGCGGCACCCAGGAAGGGCCCCGGCGGCCCCTTGGCCCTCTGCCCCGTGGGTGGCCGGGGGTCTCCTGGGAAGCGCCTGCCTGGAGGCACGCGGCTGTGGGAAGCTGGGCAGTTCCCTGCGGGGGTCTTCCAGGCCTGGCCAGAGGCACCTTGGAGGGGCAGTCGAGGAGCCAGGAATCAAAATACCAGGGGCAGGGGTTTGTCCTGACCCGTGACGGCTGCCCTCTGGCCAGGGAGGCTCTGGGGCGCGGGGGCTAGGTCACACGGAGCCAAGTGGGGACCAGACAAATGCCTGCCCCTTCTGCAGAGCCGTGAAGGGTGGCTGGTGGTGGCCGAGTCCGTTGGGGTCACCTCGGCAAGACTGTTGCAGCCACCAGGGGTGAGGCACGCAGACCACTTTGTGGTCCTGAAAGGTCTCGGGAACCCTGGACCCGAATCAAGCCTGAGAAGGGCTCCTCGCCTTTGCCGAGAGAGGAGCACCCCGGCCTGGCCCCCACGCTGACGCCCCCCTCACTGCCCACCCCACTCCTGTCCTGTCATGCCCCTGGCCCTCAGGGAGACTGCGCAGGGCGCTGGACACAGACCTGGCGGAGGGGTGCCCTGGAGCTGGGGGGCCTCCCGTCCCGGGTAGGATTTAGCATCCTAACTCTGGAATATCAGTGTCAGACCGGAAGCCTTATTTTTGTTTTAATTGAGGTATAATTGACAGATTATATTAGTTTTAGGTGTGCAGCATCACGATTATGTATCTGTGTATATTGTGAGATGACCACCACAGTTGTCTAGTTAACATCCGTCACCTTACAGAATTACCGGATTTTTTTTCTCGTGGTGAGAACTCTGAAGACGGACTCTCCACCAGCTGTCACACACAACAGGGCATCGCTAACCAGAGTCCCGTGTCGTACACTGCACCCCGTGACCTGGTTTGTAAGTGGGAGTTGGTGCCTTTTGCCTCCCTTTGTGGCGTCCACTCCTGGACCTCCATCTCTGGCAACCATGTTCATCTGTTCTACCAGTTCAATTTTTTTTTTAAGATTCCACATATATATGAGATCATACGTTTGGCTCTCTGTCCTAATGCCCCATTAGGTAAGCCGAGCTGTCACAAACGGCAGGTTTCATTGTTTAAACGGCCGAGTAATATTCCACTTAGGAATAAGCTCCCCTGGTGGCTCAGCTGGTAAAGAATCTGCTTGCAGTGTGGGAGACCTGGGTTTGATCCCTGGGTTGGGAAGATCCCCTGGAGAAGGGAATGGCTACCCACTCCAGTATTCTGGCCTGGAGAATTCCATGAACTGTATAGTCCATGGGGTTGCAAAGAGTCAGACATGACTGAGCAACTTTCACTCTCAGTGTTCCACTGTGTGTATATACCACATCTTTATCCACTCAGCTGTCCACGGGCACTTAGGCTGCTTCTATATCTTGGCTGCTCTAAATGATGCTGCCGTGCACTCCAGGAGTGCAGATATCTTTCTGAGTTAGTGTTTTCACTTTCTTCAGATAAACACCCACAAGGAGCGCAGCTGGACTGTGTGGCAGTTCCGGTTTTATTTTTGAGGCATCTGCACAGCTTTCTGTGGAGGCTGCACCCATTTACAGCGGTGCGCAGGGTCCTCTGCCCACCCCGTGCCGACCTTCGGCGTCTGTTGTCCTTCACATAATTTTAGCTTTTTGGCTGTGCTGGGCCTTCTCTTGGAGGGGCTGCTGTCTATCTGCGTGCCTGCGCTTCTCACTGCAGTGGCTTCTCGTTGCTTAGCATGTCTTGCGGGAGCGCAGGTTTCCGTAGTCGCGGCTGGGGGCTCAGGAGTTGAGGCTGTCGGGCTTAGTTGGTCCGCAGCACGTGGGATCTCCCCAGACCAGGGATGGAACCCCCGTCTCCTCATTGGGAGGCGGATTCTTTACCCCTGAGCCACCAGGGAAAGCCTGTGAGTGTGGGTCTGTTCTGGTCTCTGTTCTGCCCCACTGATCTGTGTGTCTGTTTTATACCAGCACCACTGTCCTTGCTCAGCTGCCACGTTGTGTCCGACTGTTTGTGACCCCGCGGACCGCAGCACGCCAGGCATCCCTGTCCTTCACTATCTCCTGAGTTTGCTGAAACCCATGTCCATCGAGGCGGTGATGCCATCCAACCATCTCATCCTCTGTCGTCCCCTTCTCCTCCCGCCTTCAATCTTTCCCAGCATCAGGGTCTTTTCCAATGAGTCAGTTCTTCGCATGAGGGGCCAATGTATTGGAGTTTCAGCTCCAGCACCAGTCCTTCCAATGAACACCCAGGACTGATCTCCTTTAGGATGGACTGGTTGGATCTCCTTGCAGTCCNCTCAGCAATCTTGATTCCAGCTTGTGCTTCATCCAGCCCAGCATTTCTCATGATGTATGTTGCATATAAGTTAAATAAGCAGGGTGACAATATACGGTCCTGTCATACTCTCCCAATTTGGAACCAGTCCATTGTTCCATGTCTGGTTCTATGTGTCCATCGACAGGGACCTGGTTAAGGTCCTGAGAAAAGCCCAAGGCGGGGAGTAAGGAGCTGGGGGTGGGGCGGGCCCAGCCTGGCAGCCTTCTGTGGGCTCACGTGAGACCCCTTGGCCAGGGCCCGGGAGAAGATCACGCAGCTCATCTCTGGGGAGGGGGTCCGCAAAGTGGGGGTAGGGAGGAGGGAAGTGTCACCGAGACGCAGGCGTGTCTCACGTTGGAGGGGACGAGGGTGCTCCCTGGGGCCTCTCCTGTAAAGGCACTGAGCCCCTTCATAAGGATCCACGATCATCTCCCCAAGGCCCCACCTCTGGGTAAATCTCCTTGGGAGTTAGGTTCCAACGTGGAGGTTTTGGGGACACCCTAAGTGGCTCGCTTTAGGAAAGAGGAGTGCTGGGGGACCCTGCATTCGTGAGCGGGTGCGGGTCCCCAGCACTCATGGGGAAGCCCGCTGAGCTGCAGGCATGTTCTTTGCCCCGCATGAACCCCGTCTGCCCCAAACGACCGTCGACAAGCCACAGCTGCACAGGGCAGCCGCTGCCCCGACCAGGACCCTCACCTCAGCCACGTCCTCAGGGCAACGAGCGCCCATCGCTCCTCCGGCACGTCTGAGTCCAGGAGTAGCCTCCAGGCTGTTGGCTCCTCTGACGGTAAACTGAGTCCCCGTTAGCGGCCATGTCCTGGGTGGACCTTGCACCGTCCCCCACTGTGAACCCACGAGGGCCAGGATGTTCCTCAGAGGGGCACTCAGTCCCCGAGTGTGTGGCTGGGGGCTCTGAGCTCCCCACCCCCCGCCTCCGAGCACCCTGGACGCCTGGGGCCCACCCCTGTCTTGACGGCTGTCTCAGAGCAGCGGCCCCAGCCCTGCCCATGGCCTGGTCACGGCTGGGAGGGACAGGGCAGCAGGTGCGGTTGGGGGCAGACGCGATGTGAGGGCCCGGCCGGGGCTGGCCAGGTGCCGGGCCCAGCGACTTGTGGGGGACCTCCTGCCATGGGGCCCCTTCCCTGCTCTTCACGGCGCCATGATGGCCCAGGCCGGCTGCCCTGGCGTTCCTTCTAAGACCAGCTAACAGGGCATCTGCCCCTGGGGTGCCAGTGATGACGGCGGGTCAGATGTGGCTGAGGGTGGGACACGGCACCCAGCGGAAGCATCTGGGGACTGTGTGTCGTGGATCCGGCCCTGCCAAGGGGCCTCGGCCAAGGGGCGAGGAACAGTCCGGAGCGCTCGGAGAGCCCTGCAGGCTGCCGGGCTTCCCCACAACCCCGACCCGTGGGGGCAGGACCTCACATCAGAAGCCAGGGTGCTGCCTGCTCAGCCCCGGGAGTTCAGCGCCAAGCCAGGGAGGCCCAGCCAAGCCCACCAGCCCTCCCGTATCTCCCACCAGAGACTGGGGGTGGGGATGGGGTGGGAGAGGGGCCTGGACTCCCCAGGCCCAGCAGACACAGCAAGGCGGGGCCCGGTGACACCTCAGTGACCATGAGGTTTAATTAAATACGGTCATGTATTTATAAGGACTCCTGTACATAGTATTTCCAGTGGCAGATTCATAAGATTTCAATGTGAACTGTGACCTCATGGTGCAGGGGGCCACCAATCCACGGGCAGCTGGTGGAGCTCCCCTTCCCAGCCCCGGGGCGCCCGAGGCAGTCCGTCTGTCCTTCGGCTGCGGCCCCTCCCGGCCGGTCCCCTTCACACCTTCCCCGGGGTCCTGCTGACGGCCAAGCGGGCCCCGAGGGCCCGGGCCCCTTTGGGAACCCCAGGCCGCTGGCGCCTCCTCCCTGCGGCGGGCCGGGCCGCGGGGCCTCAGAGCTCGTTGTGGCGGGCCCTGGAGACGCGGCTGGAGAGGTCCTGCATGTGCTTCTTCACCTGCGGGAACAGCACGGGCCGGTCACGCGGGACATCCGCTTGCGACCCGAGACTCGGCCTCCCGATGCAGAGCCGGAGCTCGGCGGTTCGCTTTCCAAGTGCCTCCCCCTGCAACCCCCATCTATAACTCATCACAGATAAACCATCCGAGCAGCTCATTAACCAGAAACAGCCTCCAGGGAACACTGGGAGCGGCCTCTCTCTCCAACCCAGCATCCTCACTTCTGACTTCACTGACTCTTGTTCTCTTCTTGATGAGTCTGGCTAAAGGTTTATCAATTCTGTTTTAAAGTGAAAGTGAAGTTGCTCAGTCAACTCTTTGTGACCCCATGGACTACAGCCCACCAGGCTCCTCCACCCATGGAATTCTCCAGGCAAGAGTACTGGAGTGGGTTGCCATTTTCTTCTCTGGGGGATCTTCTTGACCCAGGGATCGAACCCGGGTCTCCTGCACGGTGGACAGACGTCTTACCGTCTGAGCCACCAGGGAATCCTGTTTATCTTTCCTAAAAAACCAGCTCTTTGTTTCACGGACCTCTTCCTATTTGCTTCTGCTCTGACCTTCATCCCTGTCCCTCTGCTGACTGTGGTTTCATCTGCTCTTTCTCTGGTTCAAGTCTAAGGTCAGGCTGCGTTTCCCACGAGGTGGGCCTGTGTGGCTACAAACCGCCCTCCTGGAACCGCTTCTGCGGCACCCCCTAGGTTTGGAGTTTGGGAAAGTCTTTTGTCTCCAGGTCCCTTTTGACTTCTTCATTTCTTCAGTGATCCACTGATTATTTAGTAGCCTACCACCCGAGGCCCCTCCGGAGACGGGCCCCTCATGTCTTGGTGCCTGGGAGGTGCCCTGAGCTGTGGGCTCATCGCCGATGACCAGCCGGAGGCCCTGCCGGGTCAGGTGCCTCCAGCGAAGGGGCTTTGGTCTCTGCGGCCCATACATCCTCTGGGGTCTCACGTCAGCCCGCCGAGGGCATCTGTGAGCCCCGCGGGGCTGCACATGAGGAGTGACCCCGTGCAGGCCACCTGCGGCAGCCCGTTTCCCAAGGCACCGAGTGTGGAACCAACCGCCGTGTCCCAGGCCCGAAGCTTGGGAAACTGCCGGCCCCTGCGGCCACTCGGGAGCCCCCAGAGCCACCGGGCAGCTCGCGGGGGTGAAGGTCACGCAGGGCCAGGGGCGGGCTCACGTTCAGGGCCAGGCGGCCAGCTGTGCGGCTGGAAGAGCCTGGCTCCATCCTGCCTACCCACCGCCTCCCGTGGGCGCAGCCACACCAGACCTCTTGCTGGTCACCTGGGGGCCGGCCCAGCCTCAGCAGGCCCAGAGGCGGGGTGGGGGGTGGTGGGAAGGCCTGGGAGGTCCCTGCCCCACAGCCCAGCCCTGACCCCTGTGCAGCCCGGGCGGGGGCAGGGGCGGGGGCCTGATGGCGTGTCCACGCCCCCCGATGCCCCCGCCTAGCTCCGTGGGTGCGGATGAGCCCGGGGGGGCCAGCAGGCGGCCGAACTGACCTTGTAGCCCAGCTCCTTGGTCTTCTCCTCCAGCATGGCGTACCGCTCCTTGTTGCGGGTGATGTGCTCCTGGTCCCCGAAGCTCTCCACGTGCTTCAGCTTCTGGTGAGAAATTTCTAGCTGCTTCTGGTAATGGTTGTGCTTTTCAATTTTAACTTCGAAGTGCTTGAGCTCCTCCTGGGATGAGATTGAAACTAAACCCCCTCTACCACCTCCAGGCCCGCGTCAGACGCCTCCCGCACATGTCCACCACCTTCAGCTCACCAGAGCGCACCCCCTACTCCACCCCGCGCCCCCGTCCAGGGAAACAGCAGCCTCACACCCCGGGGCCCGTGCCCTCCCCTGACCGCTGACTTGCGGCTCGGCCACGCAGAGGCCCTCTGGCCTCCCTCCCTCTGGGCCCAGCCCAGACCCTGCAGGGCCTCGGTGGCGCCTCCATAACCCTCTCAATCCACTCGTCCCATGAGTCCACTCCTCACACCCGGCGAGCCCCAAACTCAGCAGACGGCCTGGAGGCAGCGTCCACATGCTGGAGGCCGGCTCTGTCCCACACGGGCCGCCGACCAGGACTCGGGGCTGCGGGGGGCGACTGGAGACAGTGCTGCACACCCCGGTCTGGTGGGGTTGGAGGAGGGGGCCTTTCCGGCGTCATCAGCATGTCCACCAGGGACACTGCCACCCCACGGAGCTGGGGCGCCACCCTTACCCGGAAGGACTCCAGCTCCTTCTCGGTGAAGTTGGCTGACTTGGCCATGTCCCAGAGGTCCAGCACCCGCGGCTCCATGAACTCTGCACGAGAGTGAAGACGGGCTCAGTGACCCCAGCCTGGGACGCCCAGGGGCATGCACGCCACCTGCACAGGGCGTGTGCCAGCATCCTCGGGAAGCACTCCTTGCGCCTGCGCTCAGCCGGCAGCTCCCAGGCCAGGTTGCCACTCCCCAGGGCGCAGGAGCCACCACTCAAGTGAGCAGGGGGCGCACTCCAGGGTTGGGGACGCCTCTGATTCTGTGGGGTCCCCCTACCCGCAGCTCTAGGCCGAGGCTTGGGCTGCTGCCTGTCCTCACAGTTCCGGGGCAAGGGAAACCAAACAGAGGGGACCCTTTAGTGAGCACTCGTCACCTACTTCCCTCCAGCCCCGGAGAAAGCCGGGAGCACGTGGGCCACGCGGCCAGCCCCCAGCTGACCCCTCCTATTGCCCGGGGCTGCAGGAAGGACTCCAGCAGGAGGAGCCGCGGTCCGGGTGCATGGACCAAGGAGGGCAGGGGCTGAGGCACTGCGGCCAGCCTTGGCCCCACCCCTCCATACGGCTGGGCCCGCAGGGGTCCCTGCTCCCTGGAAACTCAATGGGTCGGCACAGTGGGCCCGTGGCGTGGTCCAGGCCCCCCACCATGGCAGGCTGAGTGAGCCCAGGACGCCGGGTCGGGCAGAGGAGCAGGGAGCCTGGCTCGCGGCCTCGACGCGTCCCTGGGCCAAGAGCAGCGGTCGCCCCGTGGTCAGGACTCGGGGAACAGAGGATGGGGGACGACGGGATGGGCATCACAGCCGGGTGCCGGGCAGCGACTCACCGGTCTCCGCGCTGTAGCCCTGTTGGCTGACCCTGCGTAGCCGGTCGAAGCCCTGGCCAATGTTCCGCAGCCGGTCCTTCAGCTCCGCGTGCCTGCTCGCCAGTGCTTCCGCCTGCACGCCGCTCAGGTCCACCGGCCCGATGGCGTTCTCGTGGCTTTCTGCCGGAGCCCAGGCCGGGGGCCTGTGAGGGGCCGGCTCGGGGACGCTGTGCCCCACGCCCCCGCCCTGCTGACTCCCAGGTGGGCCCCGAGACCGCCACCCCTTGGGGGCCACTCCCAAGGCGACAGGAGAGGCCGGCTCCTGTCTGTTCACCGCAGAACCAGTCCGTCCGGGCACCGGCCCCAGACGCTGAGGCTCCTGCTCAGACACCGGGAGGCCTGAGAGGGTGGTGCAGCCCCCCCAACCCCCGCCCGCGTTCTGGAACACTCCGGGCCCAGGGCCGCCCACCGGGAGCACCTTCGGTCCTGCCCAGGGTCTCCAGCAGTGCGTGGTACTCCTGCACCTTCTCCTTGTGGTGCTGCAGCTCCCGCCTCAGCTTGTCCAGCTCTTCACTGGAGAACTTCCCCGAGGTCTTCGCCTGGAAGGGCAGCACCTCCAGTGAACACCCCCAGGGGCCGCACTCACCCGGGCCAGCAGGACCCCGGCGCAGGCCCGGTTCTCAGCCTTTACCCACCTTACCAAGGGCAGGGCAGGGGCCCAGACCTGACCACCTCCAGGGCGGATGGTGGGGAGACTACTAAGCAAGGCGGGCATGGGGATGGACCCCAGCAGGACCCTGGGCCGGGGTGGGGGGCCAGGGGAGTCCTGCCCTGGATGGGGGTGCAGACACATGAGGGAAGAACGGGCCTTGGGCTCAGCCCCGAGGAAGTCTCCCTCCCCCTTCCCCGTCCCCACCGCCCCCAGGTCGGCCAGCTGGCGCCTCCACCCCAGCCGAGCTCGCAGAAGCCGTCCACAGGATCCAACTGCAGGTTACACACAGATGGCCCTGAACATAGGTCTGACCCGCGTGGGCCCATTTACGTGCAGGTTATTTTCAAAAACATTGCACCGCTACGCGATCGGCGGTTGGCTGACTCTGCAGACAGAGGGCTGACTCTCAGTTACACACAGGTCCTCCCTGGGCAGGGCAGGGTCAGTGCCCCCACCACCCACTGTCTTCACAGGTCGACGGTCCAGGCACCAAGCGAAGAGCCGCTCAGGACACCGCGAGCCTGCGTTTTCAAGCACAGGTTGACGAGCACGCTTGTGGCGCTCGAGGCTCGGGTCCCCACACGCCACGAGGGACCCTGTAAACACGCGTTGTGACCTCCTGTTCGCAGCAGCAAGCACTCCAGGTGAGGCAGAGACGGGGCTGCAGGGAAGCGGGGCGGGGGGAGGGCCCGCAGCGTGAGGCCGGCCGCCCAGGGCAGGACGCCAGGTCGAGGGTCGCGCTCGGCGCAGGGTACCTTGTGCCACAGCTTCTCCAGCCGGGGGTCCTCCAGGCTGTCGTCATCGGCGCCGTGGTCGATGAAGTTGCTGCTCACGACCCGCGAGTCCTTCCTGCCGTCCAGACCGTACTTGGCCAGGATGACTAGGAGGGAGTGGGACGGGGTCAGGGCGGTGGGCTGGGGGCTGCACCCTGCTCTGCCCGCCCAGGACCTGGGGAAGGAGCCGGGACCTGGGGGTCCCCCCACACAGCTTCCGGGCGACCCCCCCACCCCCTGCCCTGTGAGGAGAGCTGCACACAGGCCTGGCACCCGTGGGACTGCCTTTGGGACTGGCTGCACATGTTCAAACCAAAACCTGCTGTCTGATACTGTCGAGGGGCAAGCCCCAGCTGGGGCGGACGTGAACGGGGCCGCATGAGCAGGGGCCGCTCCCCCACAACCCATGTCTTTATTTGGAGATTTCTAAAGGCGGCATGTTCCTGTCAACAGCTTCAGGGAAAAGTTACTAATAACAGTGGAGCCGGGGGGACGCTGGCTCAGCCGCTGCTGGCGGGTCACTGCAGGCAGGCGGCCGGGGGACACTGACCCACAGCACTTAGGACGCAGCGCCCGCCCAGGGCCTCTGCACCAGACAGGGGCCTGTACCTCCACGCCGCTGTCTCTGACACAATGCGTGAGGGTACCTGGGCAGGTCTGGAGGCAGCTCCCTCCGCAGCAGGGCTGGGCTGCTGGGTCTGCCCTGGAGGAAGCCCCTCCCACCCCCAGTACCACAGAGACCAGCATCACCAAGACAAACAGGGCGGCCCCGCCTGGGCACGGCCGTGGACTGTGAGGGCGCTGCTCATCCCGGGGGACCAGACCCCAGGAACATCCTGCCTCCTCGTCCAGGTGACTCCCAGCTGCCCCAGCCGTCTCCCTGGACCAGACAGACCCGGGGCTTCGGCCACTGGGAGCTCGCTCGGCCGGACACCCTCACCCAGGACCCCCTCCTGCTGCCCAAGGCCCATTGAGGGCAGCCTGGCAGCCGTGCCCGCCTGGAGCCGAGGGTCACCCTGCAGGATCAGGCTCACGGGAGCAGTCCTGACTCGTCCGGCCTGTAGACCAAGTCAGAACAACAGGCTGGGGCCCGAGCCGGGGAGGCTGCTGCCCTTGGCCAGGAGAGAGAGGAGAAAGGGGACAGAGAAGAGAGGTACCGCTGAGGCTGCGGACCAGCTTCGCCTCCTCCTCCCCGTCCTCATCCAGGCCCTCAGCCTTCAGCTTCTTCCATTTGAATTCATCCCGTTCTTGAATCTTCAGATCGGTGTGGAGGTCGGACAACTTCAAAGGAGGAAGGTTCAGCTGCGGGAGGAGAGGAAGAGAGGACGCCTGACCACCAGCCGCGTGGTGACCAACGGCAGCCAGAAGAAACTGCCCTCGGAGAGGAGATGAGGCCAGAGGCGGGGAGGAGGAGCCGGGGTCCTGGGAGCTCAGGACCCCGGCTTGTGCTCCCACACGGGAGCGTCCAAGGGCCCTCTGAGCGCGGCGTGGAACCCAGCAGCTTTTAGGCCCCAGGCCCACCCTCCAGCCTCGGCGGACACCGTGTCCCCAGGGCCCCGGGGCGTCAGTGGCCTGAGCGCGGGCACTGGGGAGACAGGCGGGCTCGCCCTCCAGCCTGGACCCCGGGCGCCTGTGCGCACCTGGGCATGGGGATGCGGGCGCACGGATGCTGGGCTTGCTCGAGAAACTTCTCCCTGTATATGTAACTAGGATAAAAAGTAAACTGCAAGGACTGGAAAATAGATCATATTTACGGAAAACTTCCAATTTAAAAACAAAGAGCACAGCCACGGCTCCCCAGGGTCGTTGCCAGTGCTGGGGGCTGACCGAGGGATGCGGGGCCTCCCTGGATAGGGGCTGCGGGGCTAAGAAGTGCCCTCCAGCTCCTGGCAGACCCTGCTCTGTGCTCAGCCCGAGGTCGCCTCCTTGCTTCTGGGCCAGAACCGGCATGTGAAGGCTGCCGTCAGGCCCATTAAACATGCAACTCAAATCAACACGCTAGCATGCCTGGCAGACACCTGCACCCTCGAAGGGTGGGTGGGGTGACATGGTGAGGACCCAGGGCTGCAGTGCGGGCCCCCCTGGGCAGCCCTTCCGCATCCATCAGCTCCCGGGGGCCCCACTACCCCAGGCAGGCGGGCGCTGGGACCTGACCCCAGACAGCCTGCCTGTCCTGCAGGAAGGGGACCCTCATGAGTCGGGCTTGGTGGCACAGGCATGTGCGTGCCCGCGCGTGCATGGGAGCAGGAAGGCAGTGGGAGACCTCTTGGGGCAGGAAGAAGGTGTGGAGAGGAAACCAAAGCTTCCAGGCAGCGTGGCACACCGGGGTTCCACTCGCCCCAACTTCCCTGGCTGTCCGCCTGCCCGGCTGGGCGGGAGGAAGCCTCGCAGCTCCTGTGGGTGACGCTGGGCCTGTGGGGCGGACGCTGGGCAGCGTCCTGGCTGCCTCTCTAGAGGTGCTCTATGAGCTTGGGGCCCTCTCCTCCACTCCTGTCAGAGCCTGGGGAGGGTAAGAACCTGCCCAGAGGACATGGCTCCATGTCCCTGGGTATCAGACCCTTTCTGCTGCTACTGGAAGGGGGATGGACTTAATTTCCTTCTCAGAGAGTTGGATGCTGGTGACCGAAGTGTCAGCAAGGCCTGCGTGTCACTTCTGTGCCCTGTAACTCTGGTGAGGCTGTTGATCAGACCTAGTGTTCAGGTTTTCTACAAATACAGATCACATCATCAGCAAACAGATCCTTTCACCTCTTCCTCTCTGATCTGGATGACTTTTCTTTCTTTTTTCTTGCCTGGCTGTTCTGCCTGGAGCTTCCACTCCTTGTTGAATAGAAGTAATAACCTAATTCTTAAACAAACAGGTGAAGGACTTGAATATAAATTTCTCAAAAAAAAAAAAAATTTCTCCAAACACCACACACGAATGGCCAACAGGGACATGAACAGACCCTCCACATCGCAGATCATCGGGAGGAATGGAAACCCCATGAGGAGACACCACCTCACGGCGGTCACAGGACGATCACTCTGGAGAATGGAAAGCAGCCCCTGCTGGCGGGGATGAGAGCAAAGGGCACCCCCTGGGCGACTGGTGGGAATGCGAACAGGCACAGCCGCTGCGGGAAACAGTGTGGAGGCTCCTCAAAAACGGAGACTAGAGCTACTGTGTGATCCAGCAATCCCACCGCCGGGTACCTATCCAGAGGACCAGAAACCAGAATCTCCAAGAAAGATCTGTGCTTCCATGCTTCTTGCAGCAGCAGTCACAATGGCCAAGATACACGAACAACTACAACCAAGATGTCCATCGACATAAAGAAGGAAAATGTGGGACAGACACCAATGGAATATGAGCCTCAAAACAGAAGGGGAACTGGCCATTAGTGATGACACGGGTGAGCCTGAAGGACGAGATGCTGCGTGAAACAAGCCAGACATATCAGCAAACACTCCTCCACAGCAACGCTTAACACGAGGGGAGGAAAGTGGACAAAACTGAGAGGCAGAGGAGAGACAATGAAGGGCTGGTCAAAGGGCGCAGAGTCAGCTGTGCGGCTCAAGTGAGTCCGGGAGACTCCCTGCTCAGTGTGACCCTGGCAACCAGACTGTATGTTTTTGTTGTTTAGTCACTGAGTTGTGTACAACTCCTTGTGACCCCATGGACTGTAGCCCACCAGGCTCCTCTGTCCATGGGATTTTCCAGGTAAGGATACTGGACTGGGCTGCCATGCCTTTCTCCAGGGGATCGTCCCAATCCAGGGATCGAACCTGGGTCTCCTGCAAGGCAGGCAATTCTTCACCACCGAGAAACCTGGGAATCCCATTTAAACTGTTTATTTATTATTTAAAAACTTGCTAAGGGAGTGGGGGTCGATCTTAAGTTCTTACCACAAATAATAACAAACAAGAGCTCGGGAGATTTTCAGAGGCCAATCATACCTCAAAAGTGGTAAAACGAAACAACAAAAAACCAAAACCAACAACCAACCAAAAAAAAAAACCCCTGGGACCCAGCATCCACGTAGTCACCTCCAGCCACAGCTCTGCATGCTGATCCTGGACCGAAGTGGGACCCGCACCCCCGGCCCACGGAAGGACTGGTGAGATGATGGGAAGACACCTTCTCTCACCCTGCGCACACACCATGCAAGACACACCGTGAGGTCACCTCACTTTTAGAAAAAAAAGAAACACGTGATGTTTTCATTCAGTTCAGCCGCTCAGTCATGTCTGACCCTTTGCGACCCCATGGAAGCTCCTGGCAGACCCTGCTCTGTGCTCAGCCCGAGGTCGCCTCCTTGCTTCTGGGCCAGAACCGGCATGTGAAGGCTGCCGTCAGGCCCATTAAACATGCAACTTAAATCAACGCGCTAGCATGCCTGGCAGACACCTGCACCCTTGAAGGGTGGGTGGGGTGACACGGTGAGGACCCAGGGCTGCAGTGCGGGCCCCCCTGGGCAGCCCTTCCGCATCCATCAGCTCCCGGGGGCCCTACTACCCCAGGCAGGCGCAGGCGCTGGGACCTGACCCCAGACAGCCTGCCTGTCCTGCAGGAAGGGGACCCTCATGAGTCGGGCTTGGTGGCACAGGCATGTGCGTGCCCGCGCGTGCATGGGAGCAGGAAGGCAGTGGGAGACCTCTTGGGGCAGGAAGAAGGTGTGGAGAGGAAACCAAAGCTTCCAGGCAGCGTGGCACACCTGGGCTCCACTCGCCCCAACTTCCCTGGCTGTCCGCCTGCCCGGCTGGGCGGAAGGAAGCCTCGCAGCTCCTGTGGGTGACGCTGGGCCTGTGGGGCGGACGCTGGGCAGCGTCCTGGCTGCCTCTCTAGAGGTGCTCTATGAGCTTGGGGCCCTCTCCTCCACTCCTGTCAGAGCCTGGGGAGGGTAAGAACCTGCCCAGAGGACATGGCTCCATGTCCCTGGGTATCAGACCCTTTCTGCTGCTACTGGAAGGGGGATGGACTTAATTTCCTTCTCAGAGAGTTGGATGCTGGTGACCGAAGTGTCAGCAAGGCCTGCGTGTCACTTCTGTGCCCTGTAACTCTGGTGAGGCTGTTGATCAGACCTAGTGACTCTCTGCAGTGTTCAGGTTTTCTACAAATACAGATCACATCATCAGCAAACAGATCCTTTCACCTCTTCCTCTCTGATCTGGATGACTTTTCTTTCTTTTTTCTTGCCTGGCTGTTCTGCCTGGAGCTTCCACTCCTTGTTGAATAGAAGTAATAACCTAATTCTTAAACAAACAGGTGAAGGACTTGAATATAAATTTCTCAAAAAAAAAAAAAATTTCTCCAAACACCACACACGAATGGCCAACAGGGACATGAACAGACCCTCCACATCGCAGATCATCGGGAGGAATGGAAACCCCATGAGGAGACACCACCTCACGGCGGTCACAGGACGATCACTCTGGAGAATGGAAAGCAGCCCCTGCCGGCGGGGATGAGAGCAAAGGGCACCCCCTGGGCGACTGGTGGGAATGCGAACAGGCACAGCCGCTGCGGGAAACAGTGTGGAGGCTCCTCAAAAACGGAGACTAGAGCTACTGTGTGATCCAGCAATCCCACCGCCGGGTACCTATCCAGAGGACCAGAAACCAGAATCTCCAAGAAAGATCTGTGCTTCCATGCTTCTTGCAGCAGCAGTCACAATGGCCAAGATACACGAACAACTACAACCAAGATGTCCATCGACATAAAGAAGGAAAATGTGGGACAGACACCAATGGAATATGAGCCTCAAAACAGAAGGGGAACTGGCCGTTAGTGATGACACGGGTGAGCCTGAAGGACGAGATGCTGCGTGAAACAAGCCAGACATATCAGCAAACACTCCTCCACAGCAACGCTTAACACGAGGGGAGGAAAGTGGACAAAACTGAGAGGCAGAGGAGAGACAATGAAGGGCTGGTCAAAGGGCGCAGAGTCAGCTGTGCGGCTCAAGTGAGTCCGGGAGACTCCCTGCTCAGTGTGACCCTGGCAACCAGACTGTATGTTTTTGTTGTTTAGTCACTGAGTTGTGTACAACTCCTTGTGACCCCATGGACTGTAGCCCACCAGGCTCCTCTGTCCATGGGATTTTCCAGGTAAGGATACTGGACTGGGCTGCCATGCCTTTCTCCAGGGGATCGTCCCAATCCAGGGATCGAACCTGGGTCTCCTGCAAGGCAGGCAATTCTTCACCACCGAGAAACCTGGGAATCCCATTTAAACTGTTTATTTATTATTTAAAAACTTGCTAAGGGAGTGGGGGTCGATCTTAAGTTCTTACCACAAATAATAACAAACAAGAGCTCGGGAGATTTTCAGAGGCCAATCATACCTCAAAAGTGGTAAAACGAAACAACAAAAAACCAAAACCAACAACCAACCAAAAAAAAAACCCCTGGGACCCAGCATCCACGTACAGTCACCTCCAGCCACAGCTCTGCATGCTGACCCTGGACCGAAGTGGGACCCACACCCCCGGCCCACGGAAGGACTGGTGAGATGATGGGAAGACACCTTCTCTCACCCTGTGCACACACCATGCAAGACACACCGTGAGGTCACCTCACTTTTAGAAAAAAAAGAAACACGTGATGTTTTCATTCAGTTCAGTCGCTCAGTCATGTCTGACCCTTTGCGACCCCATGGAGTGCAGCACGCCAGGCCTCCCTGTCCATCACCAACTGCTGGCGCTTGCTCAAACTCATCCATCAAGTTGGTGATGCCATCCAACCATCTCATCCTCTGTTGTCCCCTTCTCCTCCCACCGTCAATCTTTCCCAGCATCAGGATCTTTTCTAAGGAGTCAGTCCTTTGCAGCAGGTGGCCAAAGTCTTGATGTTTCCAGAGAGCAAATTATCCCAAGAACAAAACGAAAAGGCTAAGAACCAAAAGTGCCTCGTGCTGGCCCTGCCTCCTGTCTGGGCTCGGCTCTGGGTGGGGGAGTGCCACAGCCACCACCCGAGAAGCTTCCTGAAGCTAGGGGGCTTCTAGGGGACTAGGGGGCTGGGACAGGCCAGCTTGTATTCCACAGGTCTGCTCAGGGAGCCAAAAAAATGATGCCACCAGGTGTGAACCCCACCCTGAGTAGGTGTGCACTTCGTTCAGCAGAAAACACTTGTACATGCAATCGGGGAATTTCAGGGCTGAGCGGCCCAGAAAAGACATCTAGTGCAAGGCTGGCCTGTCCAAGAACAGTGATGGGGTTGCCAGAGAACAGAGGCAGGCCCTCTCAGACAGATGTGACCCGAGACGGACCAGGTCGGCAGTGGACTGAGCGCAGGGCGGGGTGGGGGGGTGGCGGGGAGGGTCACGGTGGCGCAGCTCAAGGGCAGGGGACGGCCAGGAGACGTGAGGAGGCCGGCAGATGCAAAGCGGCATCTGGACAGACAAGACAGGGCTGACCAGCACAGCCCTGCGGGCAGGAGGGCTACGAGCAGGTTCGCGGGCACAAATGCCCCTTCTTCCAGGAAGCCCTCCAGCCTCTCCAACCCAGAGTGCTCTCTCACCAGGCAGACTGCGCGCACACAGAGGCCCTGACAGCTAGGGACCCCAACGGAATCCTCAAGGGCACTGGCCTAGGAAGAGTGCGGGGCCTGGAAGCTAAGGGCCTGGGGGCATCCACTGGGCCCGGACCGCCCCGAAGGCGGCTCTCGCCACGTTCTTCCCCCACCGTTCTCCCCCCTCAGTTTCTTTTCTTTTCCAAAACTTAGTCCTCACTTTGTTTTACTCTTTCAAGGACTCAGGAATGCTTAAAACTGGAAGACTGGAGCTGATAAGACTCCACTTGAAAGATGAAGACAGAGGCCCAGAGGCTGGGGGAAGCTTGTATATACCCATTTCTCTAAAAACACCCCGGCTGAAACAGAAGGGACTGTTAGGTTAATGAGGAAGCCGCTGGTGCAGGTCAATTAGCAAGCTGCCTCCAGGCGGAGTGACCTTAGGGGCGTCCTTTGCCCTCTAGGCTTGGAGGAAGGTAGGATTCAGTTCACTTGAGTATTTCAGGAGTTTCAGGTGTTATCCTCCCACCACAGGCGAAAGTGAGTTGCTCAGTCGTGTCTGACTGCAAATTCTCCAGGCCAGAATACCGAAGTGGGTAGCCATTCCCTTCTCACCACAGCCTCTCACCCAATTTAACAAGAACCTGTCTGCTTCCAGGATTTCTGCTATCCCTGACTTGTCCTCATGACCAGCATCACCTGTTTTCTTGTTTCTCTATATAGGGAAACAGAATGTAGAAAAGGTAAAAACCTGCAAGGCAGGAGACCTGGGCCTGCCTGCTGGGAGGGAATCTCGGCCTCAAACTGACAGGGCAGCCCCTCTGCCCAGGCCAAGGCCTCCTTGTCTTCACCTGTCACCGCCAGGCCAGGGTCCCTGTTCCCTGATGAAGGGTAGAGGGAACGCAGTGAGAGGGACTCACACCTGTATGTGCGGGCGGGTCTGAGGCTGTCAAAGGCTCGAGGCGCCGGCCAGCAGACGCCCGAGACTGAAGAGACCCCGGCCCGGGCTCTGCAGACCCCAGGATCAGAGGACGCCCCGCGGATCCCCGAGACTGAAGAGACCCGGGCCCAGGTTCTGCGGACTTCAGGATTAAAAGACGCCCTGTGGACCCTCGAGACAGAAGAGACCCGGGCCTGGGCTCTGTGGACCCCAGGATCAGAGGACGCTCCGCGGACCCCCGAGACTGAAGAGACCCGGGCCCAGGTTCTGCGGACTTCATGATTAAAAGATGCCCTGCGGACCCTCGAGACAGAAGAGACCCGGGCCTGGGCTCTGCGGACCCCAGGATCAGAGGACGCCCTGGCCCGCGGAGCCCCGAGGTGGAGGGACCCGGNCCGGGCCCGACCCCGCGTACCCTCGAGACAGAAAAGACCCGGGCCTGGGCTCTGCGGACCCCAGGATCAGAGGACGCCCTGGCCCGCGGAGCCCCGAGGTGGAGGGGCCCGGCCGCCGCTCACCCGCTGGGCCTTCTCCCACAGCTGGTTCAGCTTCTCCATGCGGAACTCCGCCGCGGGCTCGCGCTTCGAGGGCGGCGCGGGCTCGTTCTTCTCCCGCGAGTACTTGCCGGCATGACCCGCCGCGGCCCACGGCCCGAGGAGCAGCAGCAGCAGCAGCGGCGACAGCGGCCGCCGCAGCGCGCGTATCACGGACAAGACCTTGCGCGACGCCATCTTTCGCCTCCAGACTCGGAGCCCCGGGAGCTGCGGGAAGGAAAAGGCCCCGCCCCGCCCACCGGGCTCGCCCCGCCCACCGCGCTGCCTCCTGGGAGTTGCAGTCCCTTCCTGCGCGGCCGACCCGAAAGGAGCAGCAGGCGGACTACAAGGGCCGGAGAGCCCTGCGGAGGCACGGCGCGGGGGCGTTTCCTAGGCAACCGCACCGCGGCCTGGAGTCGCCGGGCGCCGTGAGGCCCGAGTGCACCTCAGTTCGGTTCAGTCCAGTCGCTCAGTCGTGTCCGACTCTTTGCGACCCCATGAATCGCAGCACGCCAGGCCTCCCTGTCCATCACCAACTCCCGGAGTTTACTCAAACTCATGCCCATCGAGTCGGTGATGCCATCCAGCCATCTCATCCTCTGTCNGTGATTTTGGAGCCCCCCAAAATAAAGTCTCTCATTGTTTCCACTGTTTCCCAGCATCAGGATCTTTTCCAATGAGTCAGTTCTTCACATCAGGTGGCCAAAGTACTGGAGTTTCAGGTTCAGCATCAGTGCGGCTGGGACAGTGAGACTGCTGGGGCTATAGGTGGGGCAGAGATCTGATCTCACAGCCTGGATTGACCCCCCAAGGGCGCGTTCCCCTCGGCTGTGTGGAAAGAGGAAACAGTTCAGAAATCGGGACTGTGTCTAGCTGACACCTTAGGTTGTTTCTGTGTCACCTGCCTTGGTGCTGAGCCTTCTCTGTCATCATGAACTCTGGGAGTTGGCCTTGGCTGGCACCCCACCATAAATGTCTGTCAGGAAGCCTAGATCCCTCCTCCCAAGCCCACTCCTTCCCAAAGCTTCCCCGCCCCCATCTAGCGAGTGCCCACAACTCAACACCAACTTTGATCCGCATCCACTTCTGCCCCCTGCATTTGTTCTGTTATTAGAGATGTTTGTGTACCTGTTCTCTCTCCCCATCTGCTATATTTCAGTAAACAAGCAAAGGTGAATATAGCCAACGTGCTAAGGCCGCTCTCCCTGTGGGGAGAGTAGGGAACAGGGAGAGTGGGACGCAGCCTGCGGCCTGGAGCAGCTTCTGGGGTCAGGTAGAGGCACCCACATGGGAGCTCTGGTGCTTCGAGAAGGAGCTGGGCGAGCCCCGTCTGGTGAGGACGGTGGACCATGCCTGGGAGGGAGTGCCCAAGGAAAGAGGGCTGAGCGTAGCTTTCTTGACATGAGAGAAGCCACTGTAGGCCTAGGCTGTGTTGCCATCTCAGCCTGGCCACAGCGAGGCCTGTGAGGAAGAACAGGCCTCGGAAGAATGATTTTAAGGAAACAAAGGCATGTGAGAGCAGACAGCTGTTACCAGGCCAGGGAAATAATTTAACAATTTAACTGGAGATAATACGTCGGTCCTGGTAGTTTAGTCTCCACATCGTGTCTGACTCTGCAACCCCATGGGCTGTAGCCTGCCAGGCTCCTCTGTTCATGGGATTTCCCAGGCAAGAATACTGGAGTGGGTTGCCATGTCCTTCTCTAGAGCATCTTCCTAACCTAGCGAACGAACCCAGATCTCCGGCACAGCAGGCAGTCTTCAACATATCAGGCAGATTCTTTACTGCTGAGCCCCCAGGGAAGCCTTACATCAGTCATAGACATTGCCAGTTCTGTTTCAGAGATGAAGAATAGTCTGACATATTCTCTGAGCTGTCAAACAGGGTCCGAACCCCCTTGGACAACTGGCCACCAGGCTAACTGGAGCCAGACCACTGACGATACTGATCTTTGCTGCCTTCAGTCAACCAAGACCCTGGCCTCTGTCAGCCTAGGATGATGCTTGCCCCAATTCTGTTCTCAATTTCTCTTTGCACAAGCCCGTTCATGAGTATGCGTGCTCCCTTAGCTTAAAACTTCCCCCATTTTGCTGTCCTGGGAGACACTGCTTTGGGAAGTACCCGCAAAGTTCTCCTTACTTGCTGCAGATAATAAATCGTTCTCCCACTTTTTGATTTGATTGGTTTGGCTTGATGCCCACTAAGAGGTGAACCCAGTTTCTGGGGGTAACAGGAGGGCATTCCAAGTGGAGGGTCCATGAAAGAAAATGAGGGGAGTGGAGAAAATCTGGGCACCTGGGGAGGAATTGGTATTTACTTTTTTAAAAAGAATTGAGGCATAGTTGATTTACAATGTTGTGTTAGTTTCAACTGCACAGCAAAGTATTTTAGTTAGAGAGATATATATGTGTATATATGTGTGTGTGTGTGTGTGTGTGTGTGTGTATATATGTATATGTGTGTATGTATATATATATTTACTTTTCCAAATTCTTTTCTGTAATAAGTTATTACAAGATATTGAATATGGTTCCCTGTGCTATACAGTAGGTTTTTTTGGTTTATTTCATGTGTTATTGTGTATAACTAATAATCCTGAACTCCCGATTTATCCCTCCCCGCCTTTTCCCTTTGGTAACCGTAAGTTCCATTTTCCGTGTCTGTAAGTCTATTTCTGTTTTGTAAATAAGTTCATTGGTATCTTTTTTTAAAGATTCCACATGTAAGTGATATTATGATATTTGTCTTTGACAGCATGATATCTCTAGGTCCTGCTGCAAGTGGCATCATTTCGTTCCTTTTTATGGCTGAGTACAGCATCTCCAGAGACAGAGGATGAGATGGCTGGATGGCATCACCGACTCAACAGATGTGAGTTTGAGTAAGCTCCAGGAGTTAGTGATGGACAGGGAAGCCTGGTGTGCCGCAGTCCATGGAGTCGCAAAGAGTCGGGCATGACTAGGCTACTGAGCTAAACTGAACAGCACCTNCAGTTTCTCCAGACTGCAGCTTCCTGGTCCAGGGCCTGGGGGCTGGCCTGGAGCCTCTCCAGCCCGGGCGAGCCCTGCGATGCGGCCATGGGGCTCCTTCCCCTGCTTTCGCCCGCCCCCTTGTTCCTGTACCCTTTGCTCTGCCCGTGCCCTCCTGCCCTGGCAGCCCTGGGGAAGCACCTTGCCTGGCCGCTGGATCAACGCTCAGCACCACATCCCTGCAGGAAGACGACTGACCTGTCCGCTATCACCGCCTACTTAGTGACTCCGACATGAGACTCCTGCCAGGCTGCGCTTGGCACAGAGCAGCAATTACTGAAAACGCATTTTTAAAAGTTGACGTTTTTGGGAAGAGTTCATCCTCCCCCGCCTCCATCCTTCCCCAAAGAGACCTGCATGCAGGCACTTTCCATGTGACTCAGGCTTCGCGATGCTGCCTGCCGAGGTGCAGGGAAATGGGCTCTGGGCCCAGCGCACGCACGCCCTGAGCTGACCGGGGCTCTGGCGCGACCCCTCCGATGTTCTTCGTGAAGCCCCCGAGGCTCAGACACGCGTGCTTCATCAGTTTTACGTGCTGTGAATTTCCTCCCATCCGTGGGCTTGCTTTCGCTCTTTTGATGGCCTCTTTTGATGTACAGGCAGCTTAATACACCTGCAATGATCAATATTTTCCTTTACTTGTTACTGCTTTCGCGTAAAGCCTTTCCAGCATCAAGGAGATGAATACATTCCACATTAGCTTCTAAAGACCCTGTGGCTTCGCCTTTCACGTTGGAGTCTCTGCTCCACCTGGAATTGATTCCTGAGAATGGCTTTAGGGGGCTTCCCTGGTAGCTGAGATGGTCAAGAACCTCCCTGCCAATGCAGGAGACATAAGAGATGTGGGTGCCATCCCTGGGTTGGGAAGATCCCCTGGAGTGGGAAATAGCAAACCACTGCAACATTCCTGCCTCGGAAATCCCGTGGACAGAGGAGCCTGGCGGGCTACAGTCCAGGGGTCGCAGAGTCAGACATGGCTGAGTGACTTAGCGCAGCACATAGCACAGGGCCTCTGGGTGGGGAGGTTTTCAGAGCAGAAATGTGGTCAATCGTGCGTTGTTTGCAATGATAAATGTGCACCATGCGTTGTTTCCTTTTCAGAAATCGGAATCTTAGGAAGTGGATTTGACCAGAACTGCTGTTTAGGGCACCAGAAACTAGCTGTGCCCTAGAATAGTGCCCTAAAGTCTGGGCCCCCAAATACAAATGTCCAGTAGTCCAAACGCCACAGGTAGAACTGTTACTGTTGCTCACTTGCCAAGTCGTGTCCGGCTCTTTGAGACCCCATGGGCTGAGCACACCAGGCTTCCTTGTCCTTCACCGTCTCCCAGAGTTGCCCCAAGTTCATGTCCATTGAATCGGTGGTGCCATCCAACTAGTGACTCACAAAAATCCTTTATAAACCAGATTCATCCTTTCCTCCATGCTGAAATGGTTCTTTGATGAGAGTAAATTCTCAAGTCATCAAGCATCCCATGGACAGAGGAGCCTGGTAGTCCATGGGGTTGCAAAGATTTGAACAGGACTGAGCGCCAAAGCACAAAAAATATACACATAGAAGAAAAGAAAGTGTTAGTCACTCAGTGGTGTCCAGCTCTTTGTGACCCCATGCACTGTAGCCCGCCAGGCTCCTCTGACCATGGGATTCTCCAGGCCAGAATACTGGAACGGGTAGCCGTTCCTTTCTCCAGGGGATCTTCCCAACCCAGGAATCGAACCCAGGTCTCCAGCATTGGAGGTGGATTCTTTACTGTCTGAGCCCCCAGGGAAGCCAGGTATATACGCTGTGTGGGGTAGGGTACCACATTCTACGTGTCCTAACTCTCAATAAGACAAAATGCACCTCAGTCAGCCCTGCTGGGAGAACAGCAACAGCATTTCTGTTCCTTCTCTCAGACATGACATCACATCGCCACACACTGAGATGACTGAAAAAGATGTGACCAAAACATACCCGGAAAAGTATGATGGAGATGAACCAGGCAGCTAGTTAGTAAAAACGTCTTGTTGGTTTTTCAGATTTTGTGTATTTGTCCGAGTTCAAAGTTGTCTTCATTTTTTCTCACTCTAAATAAATGTTCCCTTTCATACCTAATTTTGTTTCTGTAACTTTGCATTCTCTTCTGTAAAGAGAGCCCCAAGCTGTGTGAGCTTCAGGTCCCATTAAGCTCCCTGGATCCCACTTGCCCCCTGCCTCCTGCCTGCTGGGCC